TTATAAATCTTGTGTGAAAAGAACGAGGTTAACATAATAACGTATCAAAATGGCTGCTAATATCAGTAGTTTGAGTTCATAATTTGTATGAAACTACAGACTTTGTATTTTGACACCAAAATCATCTAATTTGATCCAGTGCTGCATTCAACATACCATGTGACACATAAAAATCGATTTTTGATGTTGTTTTTTTTATATTTACTTTTAAATTAAAAAATAACTAACATATAATACTAAAAGTTGAATTATAACTTACAATTTGATATCAAACTTATTGAGATACAATACAAACTCATACAATAGTAGTTCAATAAAATGTTGAATGCAAGTCAACAAATGTGATCACATGGCCTTTGACACGTGACCTGTTGCAATAGGGTTAATGGTCATTCAAAATGATTCACAGTAAGGATATACATTGTATGCATGGCAATATCAAACTTATAATTTCTGTGCCCAAAACCTTCATTCCTTTCTGAATTTATCAAACTCATTGCTGTCTCAGTGATTTACAAAACAAAACTTCTTCTCATAGGTCTAATAAAAACCACAGTTTTTCCAATAAAAAACAATTATCACATATACTATTTATTGTATAAACTTCATGTCAACATATTCTATTTTAGACACTGAAATATAATTTCCCATGATGCTATATAAGATTTTCATGTCATTTTGAACTCAACTTTTTTGCTGAATTGATTTTGTATTACCCTATGAGAATTTTCTTTTTAGCTTACTTTCTCACTAACAAAATTAAGATGCTTCATCTTCATTTGGATAGTTTATATGGTGTTCTCTATGGTTAAAGTAATAAATGAAAGCTTGCACAGATCTGAACACTAATTGTAAAACTTATTAAGTTTGTTAATTACCAGATCACTAGGATTGACTATAAAGCAATGTTTGTGTTATTTTCAAAAATACTTTTCCATAAGAAATAAGTGGGTATATTACTATAATTTGAGAGATGTTTGTTTGTCCTCTTAGGCTATTACATTTGGATCTGTCAAATATGGTGCAATAAACTAGGAATGATTCAGGATGTGTCAAGAGGGTTATTTTTCTTTTAAGATGCATAGATTTCACAGTTCCAGTGATGGCTATATATAGATCAGCCACTATGGGTGGCTACTGATGAGATTTCTCCAGTCTCCTCTTTCATTACATAGAATATACATACAGCCTATGTACTTTCATTCATTACTGGCATATTCAGGACAAAAACAGGAATGTTATTTATATTCATAACTGGTAAAACATTAATTCATCAACAGAATTTCATTTTAAAATCCCATTTATCATTTGAGGGATTTCTTTTTTCACACGTTATTTATACACACTTTCAAGATAGATGCACACATACCAAAATGTTTTTAAGTCACATTATTTATTGCAATCGATAAAAAAGCTAAAATAGAAACTAGAATGTTACTTAAATAATCAAGACTAGTGAACAAGAATAATTTGATTTTTAGGTACTTTAAATCTTTATATTTCCACTGGCATATTTTTGAAAAAAAAAACATTTTTATATTCATTAGTGTTAAAAATTTTGTTTTTGAGTCTCACCAATCATTTGAGGGATTTAATATTCATTGATATAAACACCTAAAATCAAAGCCTATTAACAGTGTGCTTTATTATAAGACATTTAAATAGCACACATTATTATTTTTTGTATTTTACACGTCGATCAAGATGTGATCATGTTAAAGAAAGTATGTAAGAGAAGTATATCAGGAACAGAAAGGACAACTGAAATAAAAAGGTTGTGAATTTATACATAGCCACAAACCCCAGTAAAGATGTAGCCAGAGATAAAACGAAACAATGAACCTTCTCTAAAATCAATAAATGAATCATATAAATTATTTGTTAACTTTCATAAACCTGTCACAGTGCATCACATGGTCACATCTGCTAGTATAATTAACCCTTGTGAGACGGGTCATGGATGAAAAGCCATGTCATCTCGTTTTTTGACTCACATTCAAAATTTCACTGAACTATTAATTCAGGAATTTATGTCAATAACTTTGGTATCAAAATGTAGATTATAATTCAAATTTTAGTACTATATATTACTAAATTTCTTAATTTAAAAGCAAATATTAAAAAACACACACAAACATCTATTTCT